GGGGGGGGGGGGGGGGGGCAGGGGGGAAAGCAGAAGAACAGAAAGAGGACTCAGGGTGGGGCTTTTCTCCCTAGTAAATGGTCTGAAAAGGGAAAGGTTAGTGGTGGGATTGAGCACATGGCCATCTCCAGCCAGTTGGCTTCAACTTGCAGTTAGTGACAGGAAAGGACATGTTATTTTTTTTAATGGAAGTTTGTCTTTAAGTGAAGGAAGGTGAGGAAAGCCTGCTGCTGTTACCTGTCCCTTTTCAGGTGAAAAATCTACCTGTTGTAGATACCTCGCTGGGTTGAACTGTGTTCATAGAAGCAAGAACCTCATCCATGCCCAGCTCTATCCATTTCTGACCTGTGGCATGGAGTGGTTCATGTCCACTGTACCTGCCTCAGGTCAAAGATGGTTTAGGGTGTAATGAGACCACCCTGTGCCCTGTGAGCAATCCCCACATACTGTGAGCACTGTGTGTCTGCTGCAGAGCAGTGCTGGGCAAACTCTGTGAGGTGCTTTGCCCACATACATATGTCCCTGACAAAGTGCCCGTGCCAGCTCAAGACTGACCAAGCTGGAGTTTTGCCATGCCTGTTTGTGATCAATTGATCCAGTGCCACGTGCTAGATGTGAAACTTTTTCTTTGTACAGAGGAGTTTCAGCTCCTTTGGGAGGTTATATACGAGTTCTGTTTGCTCCAGTTCTTTTTATGTTTGTGCTGAGGTCCTTAATTGCCCTGGAAGACCTGTTGGAAGTGACGGAAGTGTGTGGTTACTGTCCTTGCAAGGAATTTCATCAACCTCCCTGAGGAAAGAGAGATACAGCCTCTTTCAAGCTCAGGGTATGGAGGGTGTTCTCAGTCACCAGTCAGTGAAATCACTCCTGATCGCAAGTGAGTATTTGTTTCTACTCAACCAACTTTGAGAGGCACAAAGTTTCAGGAGGACTGGTTTCAGGCCAGCGCTCACCTCCTCTCAGGCCACTGAGAGAGCTGAAGTCTGGGCTGTGCTCAACTCAAGGAGTGCTGAGATGATTCCACGTGCCAGGCCTGTCTCTGGAGGCAGCTTTCTCGTAGAGCAGTGCTGCAGACTTGACGTGTGCAGCTGGCTCAGGTTTGTGGCTTAAATTAATCCATCTCTATTGGCATGGGATGACAGAGCTCCTTAATAGCTCATGGATAGAAAAATTACCCTCCTGCACATCTGCAGCTAAGGCTTCTGCATGAAACCCATCTGAGTGCAGCAGCTATGACATACCCTCTAAATGAGCTGATCAGCTGGAGAGGGGCTGGCGGGGAGGCAGGAAAAGGCACTTACAGAGTCATTCAGGCGATGCTCGTGTCTGGACAGCAGGATCTGTATCAAAAATCAGTGCAGAAGAGCAGAGCTCTCCCCAGCCAGTGTGGGGAAATGAGATGTAGACACCCAGCAGATTTCCATTTTTAGCTTAGAGGGTGCGTTTTTGTGATTTCAGTGCTTAGGTTGGTATAGAGGGGGGAGAGAGAGAGACAGCCTTAGGTGAAACTTTGTGTAACACGGCAGATAGCTGCAGTCATCAGTAGTTCAGCCCCAGTCATTAGGGGCACTGCAGCACTGTCTAGGACACTCAGCACCAGTTGCTAACTGGTATTTTCCCCGAGAAGATCTCTGCTTCTCCAACACTGTATCATCAGCCTCTCAGCATCTCCCTTTCATTTCTCTGTCCCCTTATTTGCTGTGATTGCAGGTGGTGTCTTGGGTAACTCCCATGGACTGTGGTTTACCTCTGGCAGAGCCAGGGCCTCAAAGACTTCTTTTCCTTTTATAAAGAAATAGGCTGTTAACACAGGGACAGATTGGGCAGGGGGTAGGAGGCCGGGGTGGCTACACCTCCTAAAGGAATAGACACCCTTTGTGTGCTGGGTCTGTGGGTTACACATCTCTGCCCCGCTCATATGAAAAACTGTTGAAAGGCTGCAGCCATCAGAGGGGTGTTTTCCATGCGTGCCGGAACAGCAACGCAAATTTGAGCAGTGAGATGACAAGAAACCCACTAAAAGAAATAAAGAAAGGATTTCCTGCCTCACAGACGCTAAAACCCCATTTTGGAAGTGAGTGGCTGTGAAAGGCACGAGGCCATTCAAAGAATTGGGGCTGTGTGCTACCGGGCCCTCCGAGGGTTCGTCTGGTGGAGGAGAAACAGCTCGTGCTTGCGTTAACCTGCTCCCAGAAGGTCTATTTCATCCAGCCCCCTGAAACAGAGACCAGGCCAGAGATGAATATGAGTTTTCTCTGCCAGTTAATTTCCAGCACAGACTGCACGCAAAATCTTCATTTAAAACGTGTAAATGACAGCAAAAGAGCCACAAGGGAGCCAGAGTTTAAGAGACCAATTTGCTGCCTGGGTTTTAATGGCTGTGCACCACGGTGAGCTCTGTGCTGCTTCACTGCTGAGCGTGCTCAAGGAGAGGATGAAAGAATGGACAGACAGACAGGCAGGGGCTCAGCAGAGCCTGCATGTCACCCTGGAGGATAAAATATTGTAGGTTATGCTCAAAAAAACTGGGAGAGGTGGCCCTCCCTTGCTCCTGAGGAACAGAAGGAGGCTTTGTTTCCCAGACGCGTGGCTCGGAGCTGCCCCACGGCACGTTTTGGGGAGACTGCTCCCTGCCAAAGGGGGATTGTCTGTCTGGTGCCCTGTGCCTGGTGGGACACGGAGATGACGGGAAGTTCTGCTTCACTAGAGGGCCTCAGCAGATTAGTTCCTCTGAACACCCTTGGCAGGCTGTACCCCCAAATCAGGCTCCAGATGTTCCCCCCTTGCATTGCAGCTTGCCTGCCTGGGGTGTTTCTCCCTGCTGCCCTTCGCTTGTTTCTTGCGGAGCCCTCAGCCGCCAGTTGTTTCCAGATGTTTCCCTCACCCTGCCTGGCCGCTCTCCTCAAAATATCGGGGTCTGAGTACCCCGCTGCCGGTGCCTCAGGGCTGCCCCAGGATCTGCTTGGGGGACGCGGCAGCCAGTTTGTACCGTCCCATAAAGCGCTCTCGGCTGCCTGGAGGAAAGGAAGGCGCAGGCTGGTGTGAGCCCAGCCTCTGCTTTACAATCTCTTTCCTGCCACTATAAATAACCTCGGAGAGAGTCACTTCAAAGGGAAGGGCTGGCGGCGGAGAAGTGGTTTGGGGACCGAGCGGGACAGGGGCGTCCCACTGCCCGATCCCACCCCGGCGCTTTGCATAAATAAATAAATCATGCAGCAAGGGAGAGGTGGAGAGAGAGGGCGAGCAGAGGAGGTTACTTTGGGAAGCCGCGCAGCTCGCTCATCCCAGCCCCGTAGTTCGGAGGGAGTGTGTCATGTTACAGGGGAGCCGCGATCAGCCAGAGCACAACGTCGCCGGAGCAGCTGAGAATTACCTCTCTCTAATGGGGACTTTCATGTGCAAGCTCCTGGCCAGTCTGCGAAGGAACTGAAACTGACAGCTTAGAAAGAATCAAAAACCTACCAGCGAACCAAAAGACTGAAATTCAGGAAGAAAAAAACCGAACCAAACAAAAAAACTTGATCAGATTATTTTTTCCCCCCCTCGCACTCTTTGCTGCAGTTGGATCCCTTTTTTCTGCACCCCTTTTATGTGTGTGTGGTTTGTTTTTATTTTTTAAAGACACCCTCCCCGTCCACTTTTGTCATTATTGCTGTCACTTGTGATTTGCTGGCACTGGGATCCCCTTCGGCGTTCTTTTTCTATGCCTTCTGGATTGTGCTTCTTGGAGTAGGAGTGAAGCTTTATTTATTCTATTTATTTATTTATTGTTTCTCAGGACAGGGAGGGAATGTTGGAGGAGAAGAGCTGGAAAGGCGTCGACGAAGCAGCTTTTGACAGGGGGTGTGTGGCTCCCCCCAGGAGCGGCGATGGGGAGAGATGCTGCCGCCTCCCTCTCCTGCTGGGCTCGGGGCTGCCCGGCGTCTCCCTGCTCTCTCTGGTGCTGAGCCTCCTGCTGTACTTTCGGACCTCCGATCTGCAGTCCCGGGTGTCCCACTTGGAAGCGGACAGACCCACACAGCTCCCTGCCTGGCTCTCAGCAGACCAAATGGAGACAGCTATTTTGGGAAGAGTTGACCAACTGCTCAATGAGGTCGGTGTTCTTTCATTTTTCCATGTGTAGTTTGCAGTGTGGTAGATTTTAGGCATATGCACGCTTGCATGGTCTCGTTATCCATGTCTTCCCCCTTTCCTTAAAAATGTATCTCTGCACAAGTGATGCTGCTGCTAGGCTGAATTCCCTGTTCCTTTGGGTCTCTCCCACCTCTCAAACTTGCTTGGCGTTTACTTCTCTCTTCTCAGCCCACGCCGTAGCTTGAAGCCTGCACTTTGCAAAGAGGAAAACCTCATCCCTGGTCCTGGTGGGGAGGCAAAAACCTCCAGCCCTTCTCTTCAGGAGTGTTGCATGCTGAAAGAGTTAGAATTAGAGCTAGAGGTTAAACCCATGGGTTTGAGCCCCAGGAGAGGGACAAGCAAGGCATGTCGCAGCCAGCAGGGCTACAGGAAGGGGTAATTGCAAACACACCAATGTTGTTATGGGCTGGCATTGCTGCTGTACCAGCCCTGACCCCTTCCACAGCTCCTGGCTCGGGAAAATGACACACACTGGTGTTGCCAGGATGGTTTCTGGTACTGCCAGGGCATCAGTGCAGAGCATATGGCTGTGTTACACTCACTTTGAGTCCCATCCAAACTCCACTGGAGCCTGTGGGCTCTCCTCTGACGACGAGGGAATGCTGCTACTGGCTTCAGCAGGTCAATAGAGAGGACCCAAAAGCACAGATTGTTGCTGACACCTTTTACTTTGCTGTGTTGATGCTACTGGGAGCTGTCTGTGTTCCCCTGCTCTGGCTGCAATGAGTATTCCTTGCCTTGTTGGGCTTTGAAGTGGTGTTGACATGTGTCAGGGAGCAGATGGTGGCTCATGTCTCTGAACTCTCCAGACAGGTCCCCACTGACCTGTTCCCACAGCTCTGGGAGAGGCTTGGGGGTGAAATTCAGGGCCGGAGCCATTTCCACCCACCTCTCTTTTTCTCTGTTTACTCTAGCTTTGGCTTGAGTCATGCTGGAGAGATCCTTGGGGCTAGCCCAAAAATTGTTTGTATCTGAAAAAAATCCCTCATGGGCTGCTATCGCCAAATGAGGTGAGGAATGGGATGATCAGAGTGCTGACTACTGGGATCTGCCTTGGGCAGTGCTGCCTGGCACCTGCAGTGACCTGGACCCCACCCCCCGCCCCCGCTTTCTAGGAGCAGTGAAAGTCTGTGGTGAGGAGTTTAAACCTACAGCTGACAGGCTCTGCTTCTGTTTATGGGTCTTGTGAGAGCAGTCCCTGGATCTGCTGGGGTATGCAGCCAAAAGCTGTGAACCTTGAGTTAGCAGACACTGCAGGAGCTGAAGGATATGGTTTTGAGTTGCCTTTTTGGATGAGGAATAAGGGAAAGACTGTGTCCGTGGGGCAATATCCTACTTTAAAAAGGTGTTTGGGGAGGCAGGAGCATTGTGAGTGATTGGATTTGTGCCCTGTGGTTGCACTTTCACGTGGGGACTCCTTCCCTGTCACCAGGCAGGGGATAAGTGCAGCAATCCCTCTGTTGCTGCTGGCATGTGTCTGCTGGGAAGCCAAAGTTTATCTCTACGGAGATTTAAGAAGTGCCACAGTAGGGCTCCTGGGAGTGGTGCCTGGGGCCAGGTGTCCTGCTGGCTCTGCTGGCAGCGGCACCTTTACACCATTTTATTGCTCGACTTGGTGAGGAAATGGGGGTCTCATGATGCCAGTGTGCCCAGCAGCACCCCTGTTTCCTGAGCAGCCCCTCCCGTGCTCCTGGGGTGGCCACAGTCCCCACTGCAGCCAGTGTGGGGAGCAGCTGTAGGACAGCAGCAACTGCTCGAGGGGCCAGCACTTGCTTCTGAGTACCACCAGGGTTACCAGCTCCATCCTGGGCCACAGCTTCTAAAAGAGCTTGGAGAAAAGTGCTGGAGACTGTGGAGGAGGAGGGATGCCTGGCCCGTGTCTCCTGTCCCTTTATACCTGTCACAAGGTGCGATGCCCATGGGGGAGGAGGGCTCTGTCCCTCGGGGAGGAGACCCTTGCCAACTGTGCTGCCCACTTCTGCTCAGCATCGAAACTTCAGACCTCCACACTCAGCCAGAGGCACTGGCATGGACCAAGCAGCTTGAGGGCCAGGGCAAGGGGCTGCTGGTGGACAGATGATGGGGTGCCATATGAGGCTTTTGATCAGGTAAGAAAAATCCTTCCGGTCCTCCTTTTCATTACGTCTCAAGTGGGGCCCTGGACTGACTGGTGAGGGGCAAGGATGGAGAAAAACAGGGTAGATAAAGGGAACAGGGAAAGGATGGGAGAAAAAAAGTAAGGAAAGCAAAATAAGTCATGCTGACCATGACTGGGGGAGAGGGGCTGCAGATGGGCTTGCTGTGGTGGACGTGAAAGTGGGATATTCGTCTCCCCCTGCTCAGACCCTCGCCGCCTCTCATTGCCACATCCTCACAGTTTCCTGGTGTTTCAACCTTAATGGGTTTCACAGCTGCCAGCTCAGTGTTATCCATCACAAAATAAAACAGCAAATCTTTAAAGGAACCCCAGCTTTAGAAAAAGCTGGTCAGAGGTGGGCAGGGAGGTGGGAAGGGAGCCACAGCACGGGAGCACATTTCTAGCTCTGGTGCCTGTGAAGATGAGCTGGAGGGATGTGGTGAAGTAAAGTCTGTGAGGGCAGATAGAGGAGCTCTAAGGTTATACTCAAAATCTGTAGTGAAGTGAGCTGGAGTGTGTAATGCCCTCCAGTCTGGGCCATGGCAGTGCCCAGGTGTGCCCTGGGTGTTCCCAGGGGTCTGCAAGGGATAACATACGGATTGCACTGAGAAATGCAAATTGCCAAAGTCCTTTCAGAGACCTTTCTTCTAGCTAAAATAAAGCAAAGTGGCAGGGAGAGGAGCTGGGTTGATTTGCTTACGATGGTAATTTTAAGGCAGCTGGTGGGGATGTTTTCTCGATCTTGCAGGCTGGTTTTCAAGCACTGGTTCAAGTCTGGCTGTGGCGGAGTTTCCATCTCAGCTCAGGAGGAGTGAGGAGAGAGCAGCAGATGCTTTCCCAGAAGCAGCCTGACCAGTGCTTCTTTTGCTACTGTGTAAACCTCTGCCTGGTGTAGGCGAATACCACCAGGGAATTTTCTACCAGACTCAAATTGACTGGGTTTTCTTGTAAAAACATCTGTGCAGAACGGGCCAGAAACAGGTAGTACAGGGAGAACTTTAACTCCATGTAGGAATTCGAATTCCTCTGCATTTATGAGACATCATAAAATCATACAAGGAGCACAAATAAATTCACTACTGGCATTTGCAAGAGAGGCAAAGCTTTACAAAGAAGAAAACAAGGTCCTTTCCCATGCTGGGTAACATTTGGTGCTGTTTCATTTGCCAAGAATTCATCAGGGTGGAGAACAGGATGGATTCAGTGTTGTTGCTAGGAAAAAAAATTTCCCAGAATTTGTGAGTTTGTAGAGATAGAAATGTGTATGTGTGATGCAACAGCAGGTAATCCCGTGCACCCTGTGGGGAGATCAGCTGCCCATCAGCCTTCTCAGGGGCTTGTGTTGAAGGTGTTTCTTGTGGCTTTAGTGATTCTGAAGGGATTCAGGAATGTGCCTGTGAATGGGGAGGGAGCACTGACCCTCACTGCTTTCCCAATAGTCTCATTTCCCTGGAACTCTTTCCTTACTTACGGAAGCAAAAGAGGGACACCAGAAAACTCCTTTTCCCACCTCCTTTTATTCCATGTCTCAAAGCACACTGCACAATTGTTTCCTAGGGGTTGCAAGCTTGCTCTGAGCATCCCCTGCCTACATCTTAACTTAGTGTTCTTTGCCCCACAGTGAGGAGATCTATTTTTTTCTTTCAACTTCTCTGGTAGCTAAGTCCCATTTCCTTTCAGCTGCTTGCAATCGCTGTACCTAGGTGGTGTTATTTCCAAGCTTTTCGCTCCATCTGGGAGGACTTGCTGCTCGTGCCACATGGTCCCATGATCCCAGGAGCTGGGCCTTTAAGAAAAAACCGGGGAAATTGGAGGTAAAACAATAAGAGTTAACAAAACCACCCACCCCTGAAATCCTCCTGATGGTTGTAATAGATTATCTATTTAAAATGTGTTTCTCTTAGCTGTTGGAGATAGTGGTGGGAAATGATTTCACCTCCCCGGGTGACTGCAAACAACTGGGAATGCTAAAGAGCTATTAATCTGCCCCCTTTGAAGAAGTGCCCTCCCTCTCACCTAATCTCAAGTGCCCATCCAAAATAGACAGGCACTTGCAAGGTTTAGGAGACCACAGCCCCTTTCATGTCAGAAGTGGTCTTGCTGTCTGCTCTGTCCACCCATGTCAGCCCGGTCCTGTCACTCACTTGTGGTGAGTTAACAAAACCCACGGGAAAAGCCCGTGCTGACTTTACTGCCCATTCCCAGCGGGTGTTGCAGCACGGCCTTCCTGGCCTTGCCCTCTTGCAGATGGGATTTTCCCTTTCCTTTCCCCAGTGCGGGATGGCTCCCTAAACCCACAGAGGAGCTGTGGCTCCAGCGCTGGCAAAGGCTCTTTTCAGCAGTGAAATTTTTTTCAGTAGTTTTACTTTTTTGTTTGCTTGTTTGGGTTTTTTGGGTTTTTGGTTTTTTTTTTTGGTGTTTTTTTGCCATGGCATAGGGGGGAGATGCAGTTGTTATATCACTGGATAACGTGACAGAGGAGAGCAAGCCAGCTCTGCTGACAAAGCAATCCCCTCCATAGGAAGTGTTTTCAACCTTTCTGGAAGGCAGCCTGTTGCTGCTCTTGATGTTCCGTGCTCCAGGTATCCCCCAGGTGAAAAAGCAAACCCCAGATCCCAGCAAGGAGATTGCAAATGCTGCATTCCCAGAGCCTACCTTCTTTTTAAATTTTGCTTACAGAAGCCAACCTTGTCCTAAAATTGAATGGTTTTCTGTTGCCCGGGAATGAAAGTTTCCTCTTCAAAATGATATTTTTAGAGAGAAGTACATTTGGTTTGCTCTCCTGAACAAAGCCAGCTTCTTGTGTTGGACCAGGCAATATTTTGCACAGTGGAAACAAGGGAAGCAGAAAAGGCTGGGGAGCTTGTTTTGTTTCACCATCTCCACCCAAAGTTGAACTGAGGTCTCCAAGAGCCAAGGATTTTTTCTGTGGCAGTGTTTGTTTAATAGACTGTGCAGGAGAATGAATGCCAGGCGCTCCTAAATCCCTAGTAGGTTTTGCCTCCCACTAAAGGGGAACAATCCCACTGCACTCCCCAGGGATGTGCAGAGCTCTTGGGCTTGTGGGAGATACGAGTGATGGGGGAGAATGTTCAAATGCTGGTAAGTGTGCGATGGCTGCGTGGTCATGGTGCACAGGGCTGTGCTCCCAGCCTGCCCAGCAGCATCTGCACCTCCCTCCTGAGGGGCCCCCGTCCCTGAGAAGGTTATTTCAGTTGCCCCAGGTCTTTCCACTACCTTGACCCTGCAGATAAAGCCTCAGGGAAATGTTATCGGCCCTGTTCCATTCCCGCTCACGTCCTGCTGGGTCATCACTTCCCTGTCCAGTTATGCTGCTCCTCTGCAGCCAGAGCTTCTTGCAGCACAGCCTAACTTGGCCATTCCCCCTTAGCCCCTCCAGTGCCTCTGCACTCGGTGGGGCAGGGGTCTGTTCTATGTTTCCTTGCAGATTTGTGTCCTGTAAAGGCCCCTGTTGCAGCCAGGGTGTTTGGACACTTGTTGGATAGGAAATGGTTTTCTGCTCCTGCCGTTGGAAGCCATCACCCCTTCCTTGTCTGAGCCTGATTCCCAAACATGGGAACACCACCCCAGTGTGGCAGTCTCCTGTTGGGACGTTTTGGTTGGCACATGTGTAGATGGGAATGGGGCTGTGCATGTCCACATACCAGTGTGAGTGTCCAAAAAAAGGCTCTGCTCTCCTCCTTGTGCCCATGTTTGACCACTAGCAGTTAGGGGCCAGGCAGTGCTGCAGAGCAGAGCTGTGCCATCTGGGGTGGCAGCAGGATGGGAACGTGCCCAAATGCAGAGATTCACATATCTGCGCTTTTAACTGAGAAGGTAAACACTGATGAAATGCTCTATTTCCATTGGGAACTGGCAATTTTCCTTGCCTAAAACCCTCTCCTCACCCTGTTATCAAATCAACTTGCTATCAAAACATTTCAGTCTACCATGCAAAATAAAGCTCTGAAAATATTTGATTTCTAGTCTGTCACAACAATCATTACTCTTTTGACTTGCAATGAGGAAGCCAGTCTTTTCAAAATGAAAAAATGGAAATGTTCCAGCCAATTCTGCCTTCTTTCATCCCAGGCAGAAACAAGTTGATTTACTTTCCTCTCTTTAAGAGTTTTTCTCCAAACTGATGCCTTCTTGCAGGAAGATGCTCAGTTACTTGTGAAAATAAAGCAATTTCTATACGAACTTGGGCTTGGGCTTCTGTTGTGCCCTATATGAGGCTATTTTTTTGAAATATTGGCCTACTTGTGAAGTAGTACAAAAAAAAGGAAAGCTCAACTGGGATGGGAATTTGGGCTTGAAGGTTAGGAGGGAAGAGAGAGTGATTCTGAAGCTTAGGAACCCCAGCAGCTCAGCCTTCTCAAATCATTAACCAAGTGTGATTTGCAGACATTAATGAATAACTTATTTGGATTGATTTGCATTTTCTTCACTAAATTACAGTTATTTTATAAAGTCTGTGAGGGGTGGTGAGGATGCTAACCCCGAAGCACATTTTGCTTAGGACATGGGTTAATTTTGTTGATGTTCTCAGTGAGGGAAGATGCAGTGACCTCAGGTAGACTTTATTTGCCCTTCAAGAGATACACGGATGGTCCCAGAGAGCAGGAGACTGACACCCTGGCACCATTAGAAACCCAAACTCCTATATGAAATGAACATTCTGAAAAAATTCCACCTTGTGGAATAGGTTGTGTTCTGCCCTTTGGGGAAAAATTAAGTTTCACAGCATCTGAAGATTTCAGGGGATGCTGTTGCTGTTTTCAGTTCATCTTCAGCTGCAGTCTTGAAGTGGGACCCTTCTGTCCATCCAGGTGTCTCCAAAAACATGTGGAGTCTGCTGCAGGGTAGAAGAGGACCTGCTTCAGATCTTCATTTTCTGTCCACTGAGTGGGTCTTCTGAGAAATGCAGCTTTGTCACGAGGACACAGTCACCAATTTATTTGCCACTGCCTGCTCTTGGTTTTGTAATGCCTGTCAGGAGGACCACATTTGGAGGCCATTACGAAACTCCCTCAGCCTGCTTTCAATCAAGCCCTGCATTTCTAGTTAAAGACTATGAACTTTGTTGCCTTTCTTCGTTCTCAAACTGTTCTGCCCTGTCTCTCCCATCTCCACTTGGGCAGCATCCCCTCCCAGCTCCACTTTTTCAAGAATTTGAGGCTTTGGTTTCAATGGTATAAATTAATCCTTTATAAATTAATCCTTTTTCTGTTTTTCCTCTCTTGGCAGAAATTAAAGTTCCACTTGCCAAGACATCGAGAAGTTCGAGACACACACCAGCGATGCAACTGCCCGGCAGGTAGGGATCTGGGACAGCTGGCACTTTGGAAGGATCTTTTTTTGTCTACATCTCATTGAAGGATTTTTTAATGCAGTCTCCTGTGTGAATGCAAAGTTCTGTGTACTTCCCTAACAGTTTGCTCCAGGTATGGGAAATTGATACAGCGATGTGGGCAACAAGTCTGGTATGTACGTAGGTGCCAACATGTGAGAGTAACAACAGGATAGACATCCAGGTAGGTGTCTAGATAGCCAACAAAGAGAGAAGGATGCATCTGGATGGCCAGTATTCCCACTGATTTTAGATATCAGTTTTGAAGTGGGCAGAGAAGCTCTTGGGAAGTGCCTCTTTGTTGCCTGATTTTGGAAGGTTTGAGACATGTAGGCTAGATCAAACACCAAAGCTGAATTTTGGTGAGCCAAAATGCCTCTAAGATGAAAAGATTTGAATTCCTTGGTGTTCTACAACTATCTGAGGCATCTTGCAGAATTAGCAGCCTTCTGCTAGAAGTAGCCATTTGTGAGATGCTTGAATGAAGTGGTCACTTGAGGTCCCACTCATACAACGTACAGAAATATTATGGGATTGCCCAATTGCATTATGGTTTTAATCACATTAATATCAAAAGGCTCTTTGAGATGCATCTTCTGAAGTGGTTTCAATACAATAAGTGACAAATTGCTACGGAAAAAACATTTGTGAATGGCATTTCATTCCATGAGTATGAATCATTCAGCCTTCCTCATTGTCTTTTGATGCATTTGACTAGAAAAAAATAGAGAAGTGCCAGCTACCACTCACATCCAAAGCTGAAGTTCTGGGAGAATTTGAATCTGTGTATTGAAACTGGGTGACTGAAACTTGTTTTGCAAAGAAGGTGGCAGGGAAAGTTATGTCTGGATGAGCACATGAAAGTAGCATTTCCATTTTCAGTGGTTTCTCCTTTGGTTCTCTTTGGTGTCCAGTGTGACAGTATCTGGTGGTGTGCTTATCAAAGGGTATTTAAATGTGGTCAGCTGGGATAAGGGTGGATAAAATTACAATGGGGTTGTCTTTGCTGTAGGTAAGGTCTCAAAATCATTGTATTTAGGCTTGTACAGAGGTACAGTCTCTTGCCAGAATAAAATGGATGTGCAACACAGCAGCTTGTAAAAGCAAGAATTAAAGCTATACAGGTTTGTGGGGGAAAAGAACTAAAGTCTAGGGTCCAGAGCTGTAGAACATTGGAAGAAGCCTGATTTGACTAGTCCAGATCAGGACTGTTGGACTTTCTGTTTAGTCCCAGAAAGAAACAACGGGAGCAACTTGGTTGAAATTTAAAAGATGGTACAAATGAAATGTTTATTAAGTATAATTTCTCAAAAGAACAGATCAAAACTGAGTTCAACTGATTTTAAATACCAACATTTTCCCTTCAATGGGAACACAAATCACAGCCCTTCTCCATTTTTAAGTTCTTGACTGGACTTGGACAAATAAATGCCGCGTAAAACCATAGGAGTGAATGTCCTCCTGATGTTTCTGAGCCAGCTTGAAGAAGGAAACTTTAGAGTTGAATGCAGAGCAGAGATAAAAGATATTTTCTCCTTTTTTGAGGCCATCTGAATGCCACTCTTACACCATTTGTGTGACAGATGAATCGCCCAGGTATTTTGGCATCGAGATCATAACACTTGGTTACAGATACCCACATCCCTTGGGAAGCTTTGGCAGCAGTCTGTGCTGGATTTCTCATAACTCCTAGGTGCCCATTCACTCCATTAAGCTGATTTTATTGCTGAATAACAGCTTTGGTTCAGGAGGATAATAATAAGAAATATCTCATAAATGTCTCATAAGGGTTGAGGCTTCCATTTTACCTGTCAAACTTGCTTGTCTTCATCAAATATTCTATGGATACAGAAACTATATATAAAATTGTCCCCCACCCTGTCAGGTAGTCTTGTTGAGGGATATGAAAACCGTGGTCTAAAGCTGATGTTGTGGCAGGTGAGGTTTTGATTGGCTTGGAGCAGTACAGAAACAAAAGGCACCTTCAGCCAGCTGTTGTCGTCTCTTAGACCCTTTGCTCCAGGGTATTTCCCTTTGGTCTCCAGGCTGCTGCAATGCAGGCCACCTGACCACGTTTCAACGTGGTCTCTCTTCCAGCACAAGACCTTAGGGATCCTTTTCCTCTATGCATTTTTTTCTCTTGTGTTTAAAACGCCCCAAGGACCAGACAACATGACTTTTGTGGGAGACCAAGGTATTCAGAAGCGTCAAGATGTTGCAAGACTTGGCGCATGCCTGTTGCCTCTCACTGGCCCACTTCACTGCCTATAAACACATCATGCTCCTCAGCAAAATAAATGTTTATCAGAAGTGACATTTGAGTTCATCCCTAACTGTGAGTCAGGTCCCTGCATGGCTGAGAAGGGGAAAAGGAAGGCAAGTTAATTTGCTGTCCTGTTTGGTGAGGATGTAGAGGTCCAGGGCAGTGTCACCCATTGCCATAGAAGAGCTTCAGAACAGATGGGATTGTGAACATAAATGGTTTGGAAAAGCTGGGAATAGGAGAAAAAGAAGATTGTGGAGTGTGTGACTGTGCTGTGGCTATCTGAGAGCCTGTGATAAGGATTCTAGAAATAACATGGTCAGGAAAACAGCACAGCTGTATTTATATCAAACGATAAGGAAATATAAATTTCTTTTGATTGGAAAGCGACTACTTCAGACCACTTGGGCTGGGTGTGACTACCTGTGAGATGTTGTGCCTTGGCATTGTGTTTTTTGAGTTTAGAGGTCACAGTGGGCTTCTCCAGCAGTGTCTTGGTGGGGAGGACATAGCCCTCAAGTTTAGCATAACCTATCTGGGTAATTAATGACTTTGTTCCTTTCAATAGATAATCTCTGTCATTCCTTCTGTCCCCACTTACTGATAGACTGATCTGGGACAACTTTGTCCAGGCTGGAGAAGAGAAACCTCAATGGCAGCACTGGCTGTACCCAGCTATTCTCCAGCCCCAGCCCCCGTGCTGGGATGGGGCCAAGTGTGGGCAGGGAGCTCAGCACAGGTTTTGGTCTGAGGTTGTTGCATGCATGGATGTGACTTGGGAAATTTTTCTGGGACTGAGCAGATGCTTTTCCATATGGTGTGTGGATGTGGTCAGGAGCTACCTGAGGCTGGAGGATCCTCTTACAGCCAACTGACCTCCCTTAATTTCCTCCATGTAGTAAAAAATGCTGCAAGGGGAAAGCATTTTGTTTCAGGTTGACAGGGCAAAAAAATCTAAGCTTTCTTGGCCTAATCTTGATCCAGTTGCATATCCAGACTGTGTCTGCCTGGGCAGCCTCAAACAGCCAGGGATTACACCACAATCCCTTCCCACAGCTTTCCTGGCGGAGGTGGGCGCTTGTGTATTTTGTATATTGTGACTCTCTTTATTAGACCTTCCCCATCTTCCTCTCCTCAGCTCTGATTTTCACAGTCCCCACGTGGCTGTTTTTCACAGTGCTGGCTCTCTGCTCTGGTCTTCAATATCCCTTTAAAAAAAAAAAAAATAAAAGAAAGAAAAGAAGGCTGGCTGCTTTCCCTCTGCCTCCACAATGCTTGTTTTGGTCCGGTTTCTCCTTGGTCAGGTTGGAAGCCTGCGGTGCTGGAGGCGGTCAGCCGTGCAAGCAGGGAAGCAGCTCAGAGGGATGCTGAATGACTTTTCCATCCCTCCCTGTGGCAGCACTCGGGGGCAGAGGAGGGACCTGGGCTGCAGGAGGAGGCAGCTCCCAGGGACTGGCACTGGCAGTCAGAGGAATGTTGCACAGCCCTGCCACAAAGCAGTGTACCTTCTGCTGTTACAGGGGCTTGGAGGATGGTGTGGGGCAGCTGCAAGGATTTTGGCAGTGGCTAGGAACTGATGTTTTCTCCGGAATGTCTTTGAGGCTTTGCAAAGGAATGTCCCCTGGGCATTTCTTCCCATACAAAATTTCACCCACGTTTCTCCACCATGGGGCACAGAGAAAACTGCTTGGACACCCTTCAGCTGCAATTGACTTTACAGAAATACCAGCAGGAGATACCGCAACTCAAAATTGTTGCTGCCGTTCCCCTTCTTGCAGGGAAGCTTGCAGGAGCCAAGGTGCAGTGGTGGCCCCAATTGCACCCAGGGGATGTGTGCCACATGGTGCACACACTCAGTCCAGGCATTCTGCTTTCCTTCTTGGCTACACCCATCCTGTGCAGTCCAGACCCTTCGGCACACTGGCAGCTTTTCATGGTTGTTTCCATGGCTTTTATATTTTCTCACTATCATGTTTAATGTGATCCTTTTTCAGCTTGTTGGGGCTGCTTGGAAAAATCATAGAATCACAGATTGGTTTGGGTTGGAAGGGACCTTAAAAGATTATCTAGTTCCACCCCTCTGACACAGACGGGGACACCTTCTGTTAGACCAGGTTGCTCCAAGCCCTGTCCAACCTTGAACACTTCCAGGGATGGGGCCAGCTTCTCTGGGCAGCCTGTGCCAGTGTCTTAATGCTGCTCAAGGGCTCCCATGAGATTAAAAACATTGGTGAGCCCCGAGAAGTGGAGGAGGTGTTTGGGATCCCTGGTGTGGGGTGAGGGTGTGGAAAGGTCAGCTCCAGCTATTTAAACACCAGCAGCCACAAGCTGTCTCAATGGCCCTGGCTCAGAGCCATGAGGAGGATGAGGTGGGAGGGTGCAATGGAACGCACTTGGCCCCGTGGCCCTACTGTCAGGAGGTGCATTGAACTGGTTGAAGCGCTGTGGTTTTGTATTTCACCCCTTTTGAGGACAGCAAGTCAGCATGGCTTTCTATGCTGACTGTGCAAAAGGTGTTTTCCGCTTTGAAAGTGACTCAACGCAGCTTTTTGACAAGCGCTAACAAAAAAATTGGAGAAGAGGACTACCAGTCTCAAGCAGCTGCTCCTTGCCAAAAGCTTTGAGCTCTCTGAATTGTGTTTTCCCTTGGAAGGACTAAGCCCTGCTGGCAGGGCAGGCCAGAGAGCTGGGATCTAGAGGGAGC